ATCCAGAGCAGGTGGAGTGTCTCATTTTCTAGGAAGCAGATCTGTGTGTGGGCAGGAACGACCGTCACTCTGCCCTGTCGATATGACTACCCATCAGGTACAGAAGATGGGTATGGTAGATGGGTTCTGTACTATCAGATAAACACTGGATAGTAAGAAATAGTATAAAAATGTAAAGCCTTAAAGAAAGATGAAATTTGCAGTTTTTGTTTGTATGTTTGTTTTTATGATCTTCACAGGTCACACTGTAAAGCGGGTCATGTGGTTCTGTGTGTCTGCTGAGGGTCGCAGGGAGTTCACCCACCACACCGACCCAAACCAGATCAGCCTGTCATACCGCGGACGCACACGGTGGGACCACCCGCACATCACAGATGCATTAAAGTGAAAGTTTGGTTGTGAAAGTTCTTTTAACACTTCTAGAAATAATGTGTTTTAATATAAATCTGTCTTCCAGTTATACTGGGGGTAGCTACTCCAGCTGTTCAGTCCAGATTCGCGGTGTAAAGCTGAGTGATGCAGGTCAGTATCACTTCAGATTTGAGACAGATCAGCCCCTGGGGAGATGGACCTCCCCGGACACCATCACTCTGGATGTAACAGGTAGGTCCACACTAATGAAAGTTGTTATGTCTGCTATTATGTAATAAGGTCTTGACAGCTGTGTTTCAGACCTCCAGGTCCAGCTGCATCCAGCCAGGCCTGGCAACATGTTCGGCTTCGGAGAGACCGTGTTTGTGGGCTGCCAGGCCAGAGGATGTGCTGCTCCAGGAAGGAGCCTTGCGCTCTACAGGTGCATGAGTGTGCATGTACACAGTACACACCGTACATGTTTCTCAGCTGTTATTAGAGTAAAGTTAGAATTATGTTGTTTGTTGTTGGTGGCTGTAGCTCAGGAGGTAGAGGAGGTCATCAGCTAATGTGAAGGCTGGTTGTTTGATCTCTGGCTGCTCCAGTCTGCATGCCAAAGTATACTTGGGCAAGATACTGAGACCCTAGTTTCTCTCCAATGCATCCATCGGTGTGTAAATGCTGGACAGAAAGCACTTAAGCATAGAAAAGTGCTTGAGTGAATGGGTGTGAATGAGGCATGTTGTGTAAAATGCTTCGAGTGTTAGAAAAAAAAAAACAGTCTGTTGAGCATTTATAAAAAACAGTCCATGTTAAGTGTAGATTTTATGTGCTGTTCTGCACACAGGAATGGTCTAAACCTCGGCTCTTATGAGAAATGGATGATCGTTAACCGCTTTGACCAGCAGCATGCCGGAGCATACACCTGTCGACCGATCCCACCCCAGAACGTACAGTCTCCATCACTCTCACTGGCACTGGGACGTAAGCAACCTCAGCCAACCAAACCTGAAAGCTTTTCATATCTTCTAGTTCATCTCTTCATGTCATGTTCACAGGCATGTAGGAGGATATGCCTGGAATAGCTGGAAAATGTAACTGCTGGAAAGATCAGCAATTAAATTTTCAGATTTTACTGAACTTCACACATATAGGGCATATATGCATGTTACTGCCCTGATAAACGTTAAATTGTGTACAAACCCATTAGGATGCTGTGCACAATGTAAATCTACACATAACGATTTATTTATAAATCAATTAAATTTTATATTTAATTCAAAATCATACAAAGACTACATAAGTATGTTACACTAATTTTTTTAATCATGTCATAGCTAATGAGGTTACCGAGTAATGTGCAGAAAAAGGTCCTTTCAGAATAAAATATAGTGTGGATAAACAGTTCAATAATTCCACAATGAAGTCTTCAAGTATCCAGAGAAAATATCTGAACCTTCAGGGACAAGGTTGAAAACCAACACTGATTGCCCTCCAAAGAACATTTGCAAAAACTATCCTGAGGTCTGACCAACCAAATTAACTTTAATCTTCTTTCTTATTACAGTGAAACAATGCCAAACTACATCCTAAATGTACAGCATGGATTTGTAGAAAAATTGAAATAGAAACATTTTGAACTCCACGGAACAAAAATACAACAGAGTTGCCCCTAAACTGCTGTGCTTCTGCAATCCAAAATCAACCAAGAAAATACTTTTTATTAAAAAAAACAAAAAAAACAACAACAACTGCTCTCCTCAGATCACAAACATATAATATACTGCACACATGTTCTTGTTACCAAATTCGCAAAAGAGCATATTCAATAAAATTCAACCAGTTCAGCACTTGATATGTTGTCTGTACTGTTTTCTGTTAAATACAGGGTTTTCATTTTGTTATACTTACTCATCTTCTCAGGTTTTTGGTAATGGGGTTGTCCCTCTTTGCTCTTTCTCATGCTCACCAGATGGTCCTCGCTTCACCTCCATCGCAGTCTTTCCAGTAGGAGAGGTGTCAGAGGGTAGCTCCGTCACTCTGAC